GAGAGGAAGGATCCCTGGGGAGGTGGAGAGGAAGGATCCCTGGGGAGGTGGAGAGGAAGGATCCCTGGGGAGGTGGAGAGGAAGGATCCCTGGGGTTTGCTGGCCAGCCAGTTGAGCTGAATTGGCAAGCTCCATGTGCAGTTAGATCCCTATCTTAAAAAAGTAAGGTAGAGTGACAGATGAGTGCTCAGACCTAACACGACATTTATAATGTCCCCTCCAAGGCTTGGGGAAATCTCAGAAGAGGGAGCAGGAAGAATATAGGGCCGGAAGACAGGGAGAACTGCTTCAAACTGCTCTCTTCTGGGCATGACAGACACTGCAATCCTGATCTCACTGCAGCTCTGGTTACCTGCTCAAAACTGGCCCTGTCAGCAGTCAGTTATGGCTGGGAAGGGGTTCTGTGGCCATTCCTCTTCTTGTTCTAATATAGGCTACTGAAAGATTCTGGGGTCTGGGGAGTCACTGAATAATTTTCACCAAGGTAACACAGAGGACCCTGGTTAAACTTAGTGGGTCACCAAACACAACAAAAAGATATGAATGTGTGTGTGTGTGTGTGTGTGTGTGTGTGTGTGTGTGAGAGAGAGAGAGAGAGAGAGAGAGAGAGAGAGAGAGAGAGAGAGAGGTTTGTAGGAGGGGGACTGGTGGGAGGGAGATGAGAGAGTGGAAGGTGAGAATAACAAAGAGTGAATTTTATACATGTTTGAAAATGTCAAAGAACAAGTTTAATTAGTTATGAAAAACATTTTTAAAAAGTAAGGTGGAGACCAAGTGATGACGACACCCAGTGTCACCTTCTGACTTACACACACAAACACACACACACACACACACACACACACACACACACACACACACAAGACTGTGCTTTGAAGTTGCTCTTGATTTATAGAATGCTTGCCTAGTATATGCAAGGAGAAAAAGAGTATTTAGCAAAATATGTCAGGAGGAACCAAACAGAAGAAATTGAAAAAACCTTGTTATGCAAAAGCACAAAAAATAGTGTGATAACAGTCAGCTTCAGCACTGATCAGCTTTTGTACAGTCTTTATATCCTCCCTTCTCTTACCATTTATTTTAAGACAGACTACAATTGTCACATTTTATCTATATTAAGTGTATCTATAAAAGATTTTAGTAGCCATATACCATGATCACACTTAAAAATGATCAGAAATTATATAGAGTGTTCTTATGTCTCTGTTATTTACAAGTGTTTTATGGTTTGAATGGAGACCCAAAAAGACCCATATGCTGCGATTAGTTGCTACATTCTTAGACAGGTTCTATTTCATTTTGTGTTTGCTTATAATTTTCCCATTGAAGATACTGGACCTTTAGAATTTCCTATCATCTTGACATTGTTGATTACATCTTTTTGGTGACTGTCTCCTGAATTAGCAACAAATTAGTCACAAATCTAGAGCCTTATAGGTTTAAGGGTAGTGGGAGATGGGTAGAGAGAGACTAAACACTGTAGCTGGTGGTATGTGTATTTCTATAATGACTGGGTCATTTGTGGTTTTATGATATCAGCAAGCATTGATGGTCACTGCTAGATCTCTTAATTCTTGAAGGATAGAAGGAAGTGTTGGATAATATAGTAGATTACTTCTGAGGTCCCTGAACTCTACCTCTGTTGAGATCATCTAGAAGGGGATAGGTTTTAATTCATTCATGTGTACTCTGCTTGAGAAACATGCTCTTACTGGTTGTGCATCTGTATTTCATATTAGAATTTGGAGACTGCCTGCACCCTAGTAGAATGCAGAGCCTAAAGACTTGTGGGTAGGCAGCTTAGCTGTTTGTGTCTACTTTGGACATTGAGTTAATGTTCTCTGAGAAACTGAAGTTAGGAGAGGAAGAAATGAAAGCTCCATGTAACCACATTGATCCTTTGTATAAGTGTTAATAAAATAATTCCTAATCATCTACCAGTTATATAAAGTGCTTTTGATTTGTTCAAGTTATGCAAAAGATCATATTTAGAAGTTATCATATCTTTTTATATAACTTCTTCCTTTTTAAAATACATGGACTTATTCCAGCCCTAGAATCTAATGTCACATTTGTTTGGTTGCCAAACCATTTTAAAACTAGAGACTCACTGTTCCCAAAACCCTTATATAATTTGAAGTAAGTTCCCTCCTAAATGTGGTGGAGAAACATTTTTACCCAGTGTGTATGCATTTAGAGACTACTTAAAATAGCACATATGTAAAATACTTTCAGCCATTACTCTTCAAATAATTAATGCATGTTTTATTATTATAATAATGACAGTAATGTAGATAATACTTGGGACCTACCCTCTGAATACAGGATTAGACATTACATTGTCTTTTCTGCATAACTAAATGTATTGATGTTTGCATACCAAATGACTTCCTTAGAATTTTTGAAAAGCCCCGGTACAGAATGGCTGCCTATGCATGCCTGCTTTCTCTTTTGCAGGCAGATGTCCCAGCCCGTCACTTACTGTAAGGGGCCAGTAGTGTGAGTCACCAGAGTCTCCACTGACACACAGCCCAGCAGGATCAGAGGCTTGGGCAGATGGAGGGCTGGAAGGAATAAGGCATCTGTACTACCTCTGCTCGTCAGAGTCTCTGTTACTTCATTGTTGCCTTTTATTTTTCACTCCAGTCCCCATCTGCGTGGCTCATTTTTCTGTAAAAGACTTAAAGTTGCACAAAATCAGAGAACTCTGGGAGTCTATGACAGTCAGTGCTCTGTTGCTGTCAAGAGACACCATGACCACAGCAACTCCTATAAAAGAAAGCATTTAATTAGGTCTTGCTTGTAGCTTCAGGGGTTTAGTCCATTTCATCATCGCAGGGAACATGGTGGCACCGTACAGGCAGACATGGTACAGGAGAAGTAGCTGAGAGTTCTACACCCAGAGCCACAGGCAGTAGGAAGAGAGAGCCACTGGCTTGGCTGGGGCTCTTGAAACCTCAAATCCCACCCCCAGTGACACAGCTCCTCCAACAGGACTTTACCTACTTCAACAAGGCCCCACCTCCTAATCCTTTCAATAGTGCCGGTCCCTGGTGACCAAGCATTCAAATCTATGAGCCTATGGGGTGCCATTCTCATTAAACCACCACAGTAATATATAACATATGTTGATATTTTGATCTGGCTTTTAAGAAATCATGTTTCTTTATTTTGGCATTCCCATCTGTGGTATTACTGAGTTACATTCACATTTTTTTATATTGTTTTTGATAGCTCGTTCAATTGCCTATTAATTGTCAATACACACTGTTATTCAAAATACTTTAAATTTCTAAGTTTAGTGTGTGTCTCTGTGTGTGTATTATGTGTAAGAGAGAGAGAGAGAGAGAGAGAGAGAGAGAGAGAGAGAGAGAGAAAGAAAAAAAGAAAGAAAGAAAGAAAGAAAGAAAGAAAGAAAGAAAGAAAGAAAGAAAGAAAGAAAGAAAGAGTGTTATGTGGGGGGAGTTCACATGCCACAGTGTAAACATGGAGGTCATAGGACCAGTTTGTGGAATTGGTTCTCTCTCTTCACCTTTATGTTGGTGCCAGGGATGGAACACAGGCTGCCAGATTTGCATGGCCAGGACCTTTCCCTGCTGAGCTGTCTTTCTGGCTCCAAAAAGTCTTTCAAAAGATATTATTTAGTTTGGCTAATACTGAAGAGTCGCAAGTTATAAAATATTAATGTTTAGTTTTATCTAAAATAACAGATCTATAATAGCTGCATCAGATAAATCATAGTTGTTCTGATCATGTCGTGGCCTAATAGAATGCATGAGAACTTGATAATTGATGCACTTTTGGCTACTTTTGTGACTGTTACCCATGCCTTGAAATAGATGACATAGACAGTGGAGAGACACATGCTCCACTTGGCTTTTCTTGACTCAGGTCCTATGAGTCCTGCACAGGCCCTCGTCACACTTACATGGAAGCCTGGGCTGAGATAATGTGTTCACTTCCTTGCAGGTTTTCCCCAGGGTAAACATTTCTCTTTGGTGTGATACTACTGATTTTAGTAATTTTCCTATATTAAATGAAAGCTTACCTTAACATAGCATAGTTTTATAGACACATTTATTGAATTATAAAATTTCAATGGCTTCCTAACATTTTCTTTAATTTTTTAAAATTTAATTAATTAATTGATTTATTGGTTAATTTGTGCACATGTGCATGGGTGGAAGTCAGAAGACAACTTGGGGAGTTGGTTCTTTCTATCGTGTTGGTCCTATGAATTAAACCCAGGTCATCAGGCTTGGTGGCAAGTACCTCTACCTGCTAAGACACCTTGCCACCCTGGTATGCTATTTTCCAAGACACGAATAGTAATAGCACTTGTCATACTGGTTTAATATTAATGTTTTACTGTATAAGATTTTAAATTTGACATAGTAATGTCACTTTTTAATTCCATAAGTTTATTATAGGTTCACAAAATGTCAAGTATTTTCTTTTGATGGTTTACCAGTTTCACTGAGTGTTTTCCTCCATGTCCTCTGCAGTACTCACCAGAGGAAGTGAAGACTAGCTCTCCCTTCAGAACACGTGTAGGCCACCATAGAGTCTGTGATACACACCTCGTGTATTACACTCATGCTTACACTCGTGTAAGCAGTGCTAGCACAATAGGAGGCAAAAACGACACCGCACTTATGTGTTGCATTTGTACAAGAGTAGCTGGGCAGCAAGGAGGGGTCGAGTCTCATCTGGGCTTTGAAAAAATACAGTGAGGGCGGAACAAAAAGGGCTTTCCAGACTGTAGGGTAAGCACAGCAGCCATTGGTCCTCCCTGTAATCCCAACACTCTGTGGTTTAGACACAGTGATACCGATGATAATCTGTGTAATTTCTCATTACAGGGCACTGGAGTTGGCTGTAAAATACAAAACCCATGTTGATACAGTTCTTGCTTATCGTCAAAAATTTTTGGAGACATTTGGTAAACAGGAAACTAATAAACGATATTTGCAATATGCAGAAGGTGTAAGTATTGCACAGTGTTTTATAACAGTATGTATGCTTTATAGAAAACATTCATCTCATGATGAAAGTTGCATGACTCATACTCTAATTTATAAAAGCATTGTTTTTTCTCTTGTGATGTTGTCATTTTACTTTGTGACTATATGGTTGTAGTCTTCTTTTTTCTAGGATCTTGGTTGTTGTTGCTTGTTTGTTTGCTTGTTAACAGGGTCTTACTCTGTAGTCTAAGCTAGATTGGAACTTACTATCTAGCTCAAGATAACATCTAACTTGGAGGACCTCTCCTGCCTCAACTTCCTGAAGGCTGGGATTACAAGCATGAGTCATCAGTTCTGGTGGTTTTGGTTTTTTTCTAGATGCTTTAGCTGTTTTCTTTTCTTTTTTTTTTTTTTTAATGATAGCAGTTTTTATGATAATTTGTGTTGAGGTTGTATGTTATTTGAAATTTTAGATAAATAATGCAGATGTCTAGGAAGAAAGCTAACTCTTAAATTTGTTTTCCTCATTTGAGAAAACATACACACAAAATCCAGCCCTTCCTTCAGTGAAGTTTTAGTTTATTTGTAAAATATTTTTATTTTAAATTCTGTGTCTGTGTGTATCTGTGTGTGAGTTTGTGCTCATGAGTGCAGTGGCTGCAGAGGGCGTCAGATCCCCTGGAGCCGGCCTTACAGGTAGTTGTGAGTGGCCCCACATGGGTGCCAGGAACCAAACTTACATCTTCTGTGAGGGTATCCGGTGCCACTGAGCCATCTCCAGCTCAAATTACATTTTAAGTAGCAAAAGCTTAGCATCCTTATTTTCTTTTTCTTGGTCTATGTAATATTTCGCAGTTGCTAAAGCATAATACCTCAGGTGTAAGTGATAGCTCAGCCAGAGGATCAGGGCTTCCTCAGTGTTTCTTTCCTCAAACAAGGCAACAGGGTACTTTGATTCCCTCTGGTGTTCTAGTCTTCCGCTTTTCTTCCTCATGGATGCCATGTGAAAGTTAACAACAACAACAACAAAATCACAAAACAGTATTTTTAAAAGAAGAAAATGTTACTTAAAAATTTCTGAATAGTGATACAAAAATTAACCCTAGGAAAATAGCTTATGTGGCTGACATCTACTTGCTGACTGCCTGGTATCATTTGGATCTATCATAATCTATCATCCATATTTATCTATTTTGCCAAAATTATAGCCATATCTACTATTTCAGAACTAAGAGCTTCATAGATACATCATTAACAGCATGAGAAGTCGCCAGTAGAGGTAGAGTTCTGTTCTCTGCCTGTTACACCAGAACACAGGATAGAAATTCTGCTTTACTGAAGACAATTCTTTTTTTAAAAAAGATTTGCTATTATTATCATCATCGTGTGTGTGTGTGTGTGTGTGTGTGTGTGTGTGTGTGTGTGTGTGTGTGCAAGTGCTTGTGGAGCCCAGAAGGGGCGTTGGGACCCCTGGAGCTATAGTTGTGGGTGACAGCAATCACGTGCTGTGGGTGTTGGGAGCTGCCCTCCAGTCCTTGCCAGTGCAGAAAGCCGTGTTGACTGCTGAACCACCTCCCCAGGCTCCTGGAGACGATGTGTGGTCGGGTTAGAGATGGCACCAGAAGGAGGACTCCATCCTCACCCCATTGGTCTGCTCCCACATTGTTGCTGTTCCTTGGCTTCCTGTCTCTGGACTCTAAAAACCGCTATTCTTCATCTTGTCATTTCTTGACAGTCTCTTGTTACTTGTGGAGATGTCATATTAGCCAGAGTGTTCTTTTTGTTTTTAAAGTTTTTTTTTTTCATTTTATATACCAATCCCGGTTCCCCTTCTCCCGCTCCTCCCCACCTCCCCCATCCCACCCCCATCCACTCCTCAGAGAGGGTAAGGCCTCCCTTGGGGTTAGGCAGAGTTTTAAGCCACTGCTTTGTGTCACCGTTCGCTGACGTCCCCTGAGCCATGTCACTGCATACACTGATAACCTGGCCTGTTTCTCCGCCCTTTGCTGCTGGAATCTGTACCACTGTGACTTTAGGAGAGCAGAGGGAAAATCGCACTTTCTGACAGTATCTGAGGGGCTGTGGGAGGGCCATTTGGAAGGAGCAGAAACTAGAAGAGAGATGGGGTGCATTGTGACAGAGATGGCAGTGGTGGCCGTGAACCAGGTCCCAAGAATGCTCCTATCTCAAGGCCCTTTTCCTCCCTTCCTCTGTTACTAACTCATCCCTCCATCCTTAGTGTCAGTTTTCGGGGCCACCAACTTCTCTGATCACCACTACTTTTGAAAACCATCTAGAAATTCATCACATGATCAGATGGCCGTGTTTCCCGCTTTGCACCTGGCACTCACTGTCTCCTTCTCTGCTTTCAAAACCTTACCATGGTGACATGCACATTTAAAAACTTCGTTTATTTTCTGTCTCTTTCACCATGATCTGTCTTTATTATCTCTGAAGATAGGTTTTTTAAAATGTTTTCATTCATTATTGAACCCTGTACTTAGGACAAGGCTTAACATAAACAAGTGTTAAATATTTGTTGAACGAGAAGGCGTATAGGATAAGAACTGAAAACAGCGGAGAGTGGTTTCGGTGAAGTCTCTAGGCCCAAGGATGTAGTTCAGTGATGGAGCCCTTGCCTAGCCTATGTGAGATATTGGGTCTGATCCCCAGCTCTACATTAAACAAAGCTTTCTGAAGGGTAGCTGATGAACAGTCGTATTACAGTACCCTGAGTGAGAAGAACGAGGTGGGAGCTCTCAGAGGCAGAATTAAGAGAGGCAGGAAGCCAAAAAGGACTTGAGTATGTGATTACCGAAGGCAGTGTCCTGGAGGAGTCAAGAGAAGTGGACTCAGAGACCCATGTGAAAAGCTTAGCCCAAGGCAGAAGGAAAGCAGATGGGGTGATGGCCAGTATAGGTAAGTTTATGAGGATGGAGACCCGTGAATTCATGCCCGATTGCCATCTTATTCTCTGTTCAAGTAGACAGCCGATCTTTACCAAGAGTAGGCAAGCTGTTACTGGACAGAGCCATTAGATATGGATTTTTAAATGCTTTTATGTGACTAAGAATTGACTAGGGATCAAAATAAGAAATTCCAAATAGTTTGGCTCTCCCTATGGTAGAAAGTATGGCTTTTGATGTAGAAGTCCCCTGAAACTGTCAGAGAACAGCATCTTTATCTAAAACATACTGTTAAGAGTGTTCTAGGCTGGGCGGTGGTGGCGCACGCCTTTAATCCCAGCACTCGGGAGGCAGTGCCAGGTGGATCTCTATGAGTTCGAGGCCAGCCTGGGCTGCCAAGTGAGTTCCAGGAAAGGTGCAAAGCTACACAGAGAAACCCTGTCTCGAAAAACCAAAAAAAAAAAAAAAAAAAAAGTTTTCTTATTTAGGACTAAATTGTCTGTAGAACATGGTCCTAAAACTGGGTCAATGCCAGGTGAAATGAAGCAGCCAGCATCTGCGGGAGACAGTCCGTCGTTGCGTTCATTTTCAACAAGTGACTACCGATGTCATCAGTTCAGTGGACAGATGACTGCTGCTGAAGCAGGTGGGGGGTGTCGCTGTGTCCTGACTGACTAGGGAAACAAATGTAAGTCAGGTTAAGGCTGCAAGAAGGCCAAGGCAGCCAGCAAAGTTTCCCTTCCCTTTTAATAACTGCTTTGTTAGACATGGAAATGTGCGCATTGCCATTTAAAAATTCAGCTGTGGCCCGGTTGAGAGTCAGTCTTCAATAATCTAATATCTGCCCTGCTTTTCGGCAGGCTGTCATTTGATTCTCAGTCCAGACAGTTATCTTCTAGGCTAAAAGAAATTCTATTAATTATTAACCAGTCTATCTTATATATTATAGATATATATGGACAATTATTTTTAAGGTCATCAAAATATCAACAAATTACTTATAGGAAATTTAGACATAGCTTATTGGAATAAAAAAGAACCAAGTGATTCAGTCAACTACTACCACAAAATAGGTGTGCTGTTCTGTTAAGACAAAGCTAATCTCCCCGTTTCTTCAGATGAATCTGCTCAGGCGGCAGGCACTACTTTGGTCTGTTTACCCCTATGTGGAGGGATAAGCCTCTTCGTTTCTGACCCAGCCTTAGAGCTTTGGGTCTATTTCATAGTTTCAGCTTAGTCTAGGACCCGGATTTTCCAATGTCTTGCCTCAGAGGACACACATTCCTAAATAAGTGATCTCCAAATTTGTTTAATGGTAGGTTCCTAAATAAACAAATATTCCTAAAGAAATTAAGTATTTCTAAAGAAATTGCTCATAGGACTCAAGGTCAGAGGAATCCTTTCCCAGCATCAGGTCTAAGAAACTTAGAAAGGGATAGGTCTAGGTTAGGGTAGGCTTGCCCTTGTCATAGAAAAACAAAAGCAAACATATAAATCTTTTCTTACTCTCATGTGTCTCCCAGTCTTGCCTGTCCTCTGCTTCCTCTGATGGCTTTCATCAGTTGTGACTACACATCCCTCTGTCACTTTAAGAGTGGTTGCAATGGAGCCATTTGTGAAACAACATTCCCTTGTCTTCCTTGCGGCTGGGCTTCTCCTGGGAAACTCGGCTTATGAGATGGCCAGAGCAGAGCTGATGCAAACACACTCTACTTGCTGCCCTGCCCAGTTTGCTTTTGTTGGGAGCAGAGCAGAGGAGAGTGGCTTCTTTCCATTGTTTCTAAGCTCTTGTGCAGGATCCTGAGGTTCTGCGGACTGCTTCCATGTGCTTTGTAAAGAGCTGCACAGAATTGTGGTCTTCTCAATCACAGTAGGAGTCTTCCTTGTGCTCTGTAATTGCTCTCTTGATCTTAAAGGTAGCTCGTGGCTTGTCAGCACTACTTCCCTAGTACTCCTCTCTCTCCATTTTGGAAGTCATATGTTCTGTTTTGTTTATTCTTGGTTACTTTGGATTAAATGAAACATAGGGTATAAGCACGACTCTCTTTTCCCTTCTGTTGCAGCTCCAAATAGACTGGGAGAAAATCAAAGCCAAAATCGAGATGGAAATTACTAAAGAACGTGACCGATCGTCCAGCAGCCAGTATGTCAAGAATGTGGGCTTAAAGCACTGAATGCCACACTGACCGCTAAACTAGTTCAGAGTAACCAAAGATATGCATGTTTTGTTTGCTTTAAAAAAAGGCATAATTTTAAGGCTAGTGTTGTCTCTGAATGGTAGAGTACTTGCCTAGCATGCATGAGGCCTTGGGTTTAATTCCTAGCACTGTCAAAGGAAAAAGGCATTATCTTTAAATAATTGTATGCACTTTCCATGTACTTAATACTAAAAGTACATTCAGGAAGATTAAGCACAAAATAATTGATATAATTCCATCATTTATATTTTTCTAGTCTAACAATTAAGAAAATATTTCTATATGCTTATCTATGCCCGAGTAATGTTGATAACATTCCAGTTTTTTTTTTATTTCTTTATTCTTGGTTCTTTAGTATGAATAGCTGTTAATGCTTATAATAAAGCCTTGAGTTATTTATAGTGTATGTTATTGTTAATTTTCATTTGATCTGTAAATTGTAAAGTATCTCCCATAGTTTGTAAAACAAAAATACATGAAGGTGGGTTTGGGAAATGTTACAACGCGGATACTTGTACACCAAAGTTGATGGTGTGTCCAGATAACAAAAGCTAGGAACAACTCAGGTGTCCATCCACCGGCCGTTCCATAGAGCAATGTGCTATTCTCAGGCAGTGGGATTATTCTCTCATCAGAGGACTGAACTGCGACACGTGCTGTAACATGGATGTGCCTTGGGAAACTTGCTCTCTGTGCAGTGAACATGCCACAGAAGTCAGTCCTGGGAGACTGGGCGTACACGAGGCACCTAGGATATGATATGCAAGTTCCTCCAGGCACAAAAGAGAAGAGAGGAACAGGGCCTGGGGGAGGGAAGATTGAGGTCTTATTATGTAACACGTGCAAAGTTTCTGTTTGGGGTGAGTGAGTTCTAGAATTGGAGAACAATGATGGTTGCATAACATTGTGGACATTAATGAACCTCAACTGTCCTCTTGCAAAGGGTTAAAGTGATGAATGTTATTTTATTTTTTTACCATATTGAAAAGGAAGTAGGCAGACTCCCTTTTCTTCATTCTTCTTCTAACTTAAGAATGTTTAGGCGTAAGACCTAGAATCTGAATTTTCAAAACTTGCCTCAGTGGGTAAACCTGTTTGACTGGCCTTGATCTAGTACATCCCAAATGACTGTCCACCAAAGCTTTTTAACAGTGACACAGACATCGCTCTCAAGTGTCCCTGAACCTGTTCCTGGTGCGTTACAGAGCTCATGCACACTTATTGGGAGACATCGCCTCTTTCCCTCCGTTATAATTCTCATGTAGGATTCTTTCATAGAAATGCTCCTTCTCAATATGTTCCTTTTCTTTTATGAAATGTTGGACTGTTCAATTCTTGGTCCAGAATTTGGATACAAGAGTGTGTGTTCAGTTCATGAAATGTAAGGAATTTACTTATATGTTATACATGTTTTCTACATTGTTGAATTTCAGTGTAATGTTTAAAAAGAAAAAAAAAATGGTCAAAAGGTTAAATTTTATGTTTAGTATATTTGCCACAATAAAAAAGTAAAAAATAATGAAGTAAGTCTGTATTCTTTGATATTTTACAATTAATTCACTTTTTTTTAAAAAAAAAATATTTATTATGTATATAGTATTCTGCCTGCATGTGTCCTTGCAGACCAGAAGAGGGCACTAGATCTGGTTACGGGTGGTTGTGAGACACCATGTGGTTGCTGGGAATTGAACTCAGGACCTCTGGAAGAGCAGTCAGTGCTCTTAACCACTGAGCTATCCAGCCCCACAATTAATTCACTTTTGACACTGACTATCTAGAGTTAACAATAGACACCACAAATGCCATGGACCACAGCTGGATTGCCTTGAGTTCTGGAGTCCCCAGGCTATCTGCACTTGTGTCTGATATGGCTAGACATATGGGATTCCTATAAAACCCCTCCATTTCAGGTTTGATAATTCAACAGAGTTGTTTATAGAACTGGCTGGAAGTCTTTACTTAGGTTTTATTTAGGAGGGTAAATGGAAATGTAAACAGTCATGTAGATGAGGCACATGGAGCAAGGCCTGGGGAAGAGGAAGGTCACAACAGAACTCCCACATCTTGACCTTACTGAAGTCAGGAGACTGGCCATCTTCCCCTCTCATAAATGTGTTCAACAGGTCTTGATGTCTTGGGGTATTGTAGAATATTATTTTAAGATGTATTACATTTGTTTATGCCGTGGAACATTTTTTAATGATGCAAAGATGTGTTGCATTCTTTTATGTTGCATTTGTTTAACTCTGTGAAGCTGTGTTACTATGCCTGTCTAAAACACCTGATTGGTCTAATAAAGAGCTGAATGGCCAATAGCAAGGCAGGAGAAAGGATAGGCGTGGCTGGCATGCAGAGAGAATAAATAGAGGGAGAAATCTGGGGAGAAAAAGCAAGAGTGAGAGAACAAGGAGAGGAGGATGCTAGGGGCCAGCCACACAGCCACACAGCCAGCCATGTGTAAGAATGGAAGTAAGATTATAGAAGTAAGAAAAGGAAAAAGCCCAGAGGGAAAAGGTAGAGGAGATAAATTTAAGTTAAGAAAAGCTGGTTAGAAACAAGCCAAGCTAAGGCTGGGCATTTAAAGTAACAATAAGCTTCCATGTATGATTTATTTATGAGCTGTGTGGTGGGTCCCCTAAAAGAACAAAGAGCCAAAGAGTAAGAGTGAAAACAACCAACAACATTTTGGGGTCCCAATGTGGGCCCGTATTTCCATGTAGGGCCTGAGAAAGTAGAAAAGAAAAAAGAAAAAGGACAAGGCTCCTTTAAGAGATGTTGCTATTCAGCTGGCAGCACTAAATAGGAAGGGCAAGCTAAGTAAAAAGCTGCTCCTGGCAGTGTAGGTACCAGCTTCCTACAGCTAGGAAGGTTGAATGCAGGTCCTGCTCGTGTATCTCTGACAGGGCTCTGAGCTTTAAGGCTTGGCTTTCACCACCTGAGAAGTGGGTGGAACCAGCTGATAGAGCTGCTCTTGGAGGACCTAGCTGTAGTTTAGCAGCTTACAGTTTGCTCACACGATCAAAAAAGATTAGAGATATGCAATAAAAGAGATCCAGACAGAAAAAAAAAATCTCTGAACAGGTTCCAGTGTGTTTTTCATTGCATGTAAGCTTAAGAAAGAAAGAATATGGGTATAGACAGTCATAGAAACAAATAGTTTAAAAATAAAGTCTTTAAAGAGACAGTAAAAAGAAAAAAGCCATGTAAAGATGGGAAATACACAGGGAGTCTGGATCCTGTATGTTATTATGGTGGTTTTGAATTCTTTGAATGCTGATAAGCAAATAACAACTGCTGGCAGACATGGGCTTGTGAGCAGGACTGCAAAATTGAACCAGTTTAGATTCTTTAAGGCTATCTTAACTTTAAAAAAGAAGTAAAAAAATATATACTTGTCAAATGGAAATCAAAAATGCTTTGGAGTTTTATTCCCACAGGAGACAAGAGGCTGTGGATTCCTTCAGGAATGAGATGGATCAGGTTTGATCAGGGGAGATCTCCTGAATCTTGACAGGTGACATCAACAAAGGTTATAGCTGGTCTTCCCAGGACTTGGCCATTATCCCAAATTTTCTCAGGGACCCTAAAGATACCTTCACCCACAGATAGCAGGAAGCATTTTGGAGAACAAAATGCCCACATTCCCAAGAGGGGTGTGGGAGGCTTTTGGTTCTTTGGTGGGTTATGATGTTTGTTATAATTTAGAGGAATATAGGATAAAAAGATAACTATTAATCTCAGATATTTTGCATTAGCATGGATTTTGGTATATTGGTACAAATTTAAAGTTAATTTAAATATATATATTTTGTGTATCTATATATATATATAGATATATATATATATTTCTACTCTTGTTTGGGGTATTGTACTTACTCAGTTCATTTAAAAGTGCAATGTATAAATAAGAAACGAAGTTCGTAGTTAATGTATAATTAAACTTGTAGTCACGTTAGGTATGTGTTTAAGGTTAAATAGGTATATTTTAGATTAAATGGCATTCAAACACTTCAAAGACCTATAGAATATGGCATTTAAAATGTTTTGTTAACATAGGCTTTTCATGACAGTGAGACACATCTGCTCCTGGCAGCACCAATTTATTTCATATAAGGATGATGGGCATCGAAGAAACCCCATAGAAGTTTGCTTTCATTGTGGCAAGATTAGCCATTTGGGGAAGAAACTGCTTTTGCCTTGACTGCTTGACAGTATGTGGTATAAAATGGACATGCAGGACCAACAGGAAAGTGACTGCTGAACTTTATCAAAACAAGGTGGGACAGTCCTTCAGGGTTCCTGCTTCATGGATGAGTTTGCCAGACATTTTGCAGGACATAGAGGAAAGCAACTGATGATCTTTGCCAATACAAGGTGGCAAGACAGTTCTTGAAATTTCCTGCTTCATTAAAAAGTCTGCCAGATACTCTGGGCCTGTAGGCTGAGGATGGATGCCCCAACATTGCAGAGGAACTTTGGGTGACTGTCCAGGCAGTCAGATGTGTCTGTCATTTCTAGAGTTTTGGAAGTTGCTTGCAATGCACTTTCTGTTTACGCAGATAATATTATATCCTTCTGGGGCCTTTGATGGAGTTGAAGATTAGAAAGGTATAGTTGCAGTTTTCCTTAGTTATGATAGAAAGTGAATTAGGTAGAAAAATTTGGAGTAAGATGGGATGATGGTGGAGTATTTTCTCTGAATTTGCTAAATATAAATGAACAGAATATTGTAAATGTAATTCTTAATAACTTTTTGTTGTGTATAGTTTTACTATATTAAAGTTAAAACCTTTCATTTTTTATTTAGACAAAAAGGGGGAAATACTGTAGAATATTATTTTAAGATGTGTTATGCGGCGCGTTCCTCGACCAGCGAGGAAGAACGACCACCACGGGAGGATTCTTCTCAGATCACACTTTATTGGAGCGCCTCTTGATTAAGGGAGAGCGGGAGGTGAGGGGCCCCGAGGACTAAACTGCAGCTGCTTATATGAGGACTCAGGCAAACGTGCCGTACTGTGATTGGGTCCCGCCAGAATGCTAGCACGGGGAGCCACGGGATAGGCTGAGGACATAAGGCCAATTACCATACTCGTGCATCATAGCCAAATATGGAGTTGTTTACAGCTAGGCTACCAGGAAGCCAGCGCCATCTTTGAATGGCGGCTCCCTACAGTGTTACATTTCTTATGCTGTGGAACGCTTGTTTAGTGATGCAAAGATATGTTGTATTCTTTTATGTTGCATTTGTTTAATTCTATAAAGCTGTGTTACTTTGCCTGTCTAAAACACCTGATGGTCTGATAAAGAGCTGAACAGCCAATAGCGCGGCAGGAGAAAGGATAGGCAGGGCTGGCATGCAGAGAGAATAAATAGAAGGAGAAATCTGGGTGGAAAAG